AGCTCAGTGCAGATGCTGCCTGTAATCCATGGTTTCTGGTTGGGGTATGTACGTACGGTCACTGTGGGGAAGACGTCATCAAACCACTTATTGATGAAGCCAGTGACTGATGTGGTGTACTCCTCAATGCCATCGGAAGAATCCCGGAACATATTCCAGTCTGTGCTAGCAAAACAGTCCTGTAGCTTAGCATCTGCGTCATCTGACCACTTCTTTATTGACTGAGTCACTGGTGCTTCCTGCTTTAGTTTTTGCTTGTAAGCAGGAATCAGGAGGAGAGTTATGGTCAGATTTGAATCAATAATGAATGTTTTACTAAGATCCTAAAGCTGATTGGGGAGGACCCTTAGGGGCAGGAGGGGTGACTCAGCTATATTGTGTGCAAGTAAAAAGAGCTCTACAGTACTATTAGGCCTATGATATGAATTATATGGAGGGTTGTACTGTTTTTGTGTGTTAATGTGTAGGTGTGTTTTCATTCAACTTTTGTTTTACTAACCTTTCCCTTGAGACAAAAAAAAAAAGATGGGAAGGAAGTTGTGTTGGGTAGAGAGTTGAGTTATTGACTAGACTGGTGGGGGTCGGGTGTGTAGGTGGCTTGGGTTGGCTGGGAGGTCTGGCTGAAATTTGATATAGAGGATGTCTTAAAGACAATAAAAAGTTGAAAATTGTACAGTGAGGGGAAAAAGTATTTGATCCCCTGCTAATTTTTTACGTTTGCCCACTGACAAAGAAATGATCAGTCTATAATTTTAATGGTAGGTCTATTTGAACAGTGAGAGACAGAATAACAACAAAAAAATCCAGAAAAATGCATGTCAAAAATGTTATAAATTGATTTGCATTTTAATGAGGGAAATAAGTATTTGACCCCCTCTCAATCAGAAAGATTTCTGGCTCCCAGGTGTCATTTATACAGGTAACGAGCTGAGATTAGGAGCACACACTTAAAGGGAATGATCCTAATCTCAGCTTGTTACCTGTATAAAAGACACCTGTCCACAGAAGCAATCAATCAATCAGATTCCAAACTCTCCACCATGGCCAAGACCAAAGAGCTCTCCAAGGATGTCAGGGACAAGATTGTAGACCTACACAAGGCTGGAATGGGCTACCAGACCATCGCCAAGCAGCTTGGTGAGAAGGTGACAACAGTTGGTGCGATTATTCGCAAATGGAAGAAACACAAAATAACTGTCAATCTCCCTCGGCCTGAGGCTCCATGCAAGATCTCACCTTGTGAAGTTGCAATGATCATGACAACGGTGAGGAATCAGCCCAGAACTACGCGGGAGGATCTTGTCAATGATCTCAAGGCAGCTGGGACCATAGTCACCAAGAAAACAATTGGTAACACACTACGCCTTGAAGGACTGAAATCCTGCAGCGCCCGCAAGGTCCCCCTGCTCAAGAAAGCACATATACATGCCTGTTTGAAGTTTGCCAATGAACATCTGAATGATTCAGAGGAGAACTGGGTGAAAGTGTTGTGGTCAGATGAGACCAAAATGGAGCTCTTTGGCATCAACTCAACTCGCCGTGTTTGGTTGGAGGAGGAATGCTGCCTGTAGCTCAATTGGTAGAGCATGGCGCTTGTAACGCCAGGGTAGTGGGTTCGATCCCCGGGACCACCCATACGTAAAGATTTATGCACACATGACTGTAAATTGCTTTGGATAAAGTGTCTGCTAAATGGCATATTATTATTATTATTATTATTATTATTATTATTATGACCCCAAGAACATCATCCCCACCGTCAAACATGGAGGTGGAAACATTATGCTTTGGGGGTGTTTTTCTGCTAACGGGACAGGACAACTTCACAGCATTAAAGGGACGATGGACGGGGCCATGTACTGTCAAATCTTGGGTGAGAACCTCCTTCCCTCAGCCAGGGCATTGAAAATGGGTCGTGGATGGGTATTCCAGCATGACAATGACCCAAAACACACGGCCAAGGCAACAAAGGAGTGGCTCAAGAAGAAGCACATTAAGGTCCTGGAGTGGCCTTGCCAGTCTCCAGACCTTAATCCCATAGAAAATCTGTGGAGGGAGCTGAAGGTTCGAGTTGCCAAACGTCAGCCTTGAAACCTTAATGACTTGGAGAAGATCTGCAAAGAGGAGTGGGACAAAATCCCTCCTGAGATGTGTGCAAACCTGGTGGCCAACTACAAGAAACGTCTGACCTCAGTACTTGGTGGCAAAACCCTTGTTGGCAATCACAAAGTCATGTTTTGCAGAGGGGTCAAATACTTATTTCCCTTATTAAAATGCAAATCAATTTATAACATTTTTGACATGTGTTTTTTTATGTTTTTCTGTTCAAATAAACCTACCAATAAAATTATAGACTGATCATTTATTTGTCAGTGGGCAAACGTACAAAATCAGCAGGGGATCAAATACTTTTTTCCCTCACTGTATGTTTGTGCTTTTCTAATAACCAATTTGACTGGGTTCATTCAAGTGACTCATTGATCGTGCCTGGGAGGAATCCTCACTATCAGTATCTGCAATTTGGCAGTACGCCCAGAACATTGTTTTGAGAACCGAAAAGGGTGTCTCAGTTTCAAGGTCTCAGCTTGGAGAGAAGAGGCCTCGTGAGGTATTGGTCGGTCACATGCATGAACTATACGTTAATGATGAATTCATTATGAATAGTGAATAAGCTAAATCATGCAAATATAACTTGTAATCAGTATATAAGAGAACTAACGGGACTGCCACGGTGGAGCTCCTGACAGACCTGTACTACTTGGTGCATTAAGTTTGTTGGAACCTCTCCAGCTTGCTGATAATAAAGAATTATTCATTTAAGATTGACTTCAGGTGTCCCTGGTGGTAATTTCCACGACAAGTTGTTCATTTGTTAGGCTATTGGTTAAAGGTGCAACACAATATTGATTATTGAATTATCATGGATCTTGTTCAGTCTTATCAATCACTTAACCATATTTAATCATCTCTTACCTAGCTTGATGACTACGTGCATTTTTGCTTACTTTTTGTTGTTCTAAATAGACACGGATAGAAGGGCCATGGGTCATATTAGATTGTGAAGAAATGCAGGAAACGTGCTTTAGATGCCCCAAAAAATGGGAGGACCCCCAGGCCCCCTGCCAAGTTGTCCCCCTCTGCAAATAGCACTGCTGGGTGATGTCATGCCTACTCCCGCTCCCCCGCTCGACGTTGCCGGTCTACTAACCACCACCCCTGGCAATCATCATTACGCACACCTGGACTTCATCATCACCCTGATTACTCTCCCTTTATTTTGCCCTCTGTAGCCTAAGTCATCAGGCAGTATTGGTTTTTGTTCAAGTTCTGTACGCTTCTCCTGTCTTGTTTATCTTCATGATTCTTATTATTAAACTCACCTTCTGCACCTGCTTCCTGACTCCCAGCATATACATTACAGGTGATTAAAAAAGTCAGTCAATCAATAATATAATAATACTCCTAGCAAAACAGTTAATTTTTAATTTACAATCTGTAGAAACTATGAAAATAGAAAGGTTCAGAACTTTTGTGAAACATCATAGCACAGTCAAAATATATGGCAAATAGAAATCAAAACTGGATGGTGTTCAGAGATAGATGGTAAGGGTTGAGTAGCTGAAGAATGGGACTAAAAACAAATAAAAGATAATAACTATTATAAAACATACTGTGTCCGTGAAAATGTATATAGTATGTATAAGCTGGAAGTAGTTGTCCATAGTTTACTACAATTAGGGGAGGGATGGTAAGGTTCGGGGAAAATAATAAAGGGGGGGAGGGAGGAATTATAAGGGGGTTGGAAATGATGCAGACAATTACATTGATGGAAGCCACAATCTGCAATATTAAAGCTAATCTACCCCCCCCCCCCAAAAAAAAATAATGTCCCCCCCGCTTCTAAAACCAAAGTTGCACCCCTGACAATAACAATCTTTACCCCTTTACAGAAAAGCATAGACATTTTCCTGCATTTTTTCACTTTTGAACGTGTAATTTTGGGTGCTAAAATCAACAAATTAGCTCATGTTAGCAGAAAACGCCGAAATGTATGATTAATTATCATGCAATTTTACTTTTCAAAGCAGTAGATGTTTGTTGATAAACTATTACTATATATAAACAGCTGAATGCTTATAGTGGCAAATAATCAAATAATTTGAAAATCCATTATCGTTACACCGAATGAAATTATTCATGGCAGAAATATGATTTAAAATGTAAATGCATGGATTGAATTCTCGGTGACTAAAACTTTTTTGTCATCCTTATTCATCATTGACCCACCTGTTTGACGTTTTACGGCATTGTTAGGAGCTAGTAACATAAGCATTTCGCTGCACCTGCTATAACATCTGCTAAACTGTGTACACAACCAATAAACTTCGATTTGATTAGACCATTCCTTCATACAGAATCTTTCCAGATCCCTGATATCCTTCATCTTCGCCCTCTTCAATGCAAACTACAGGTTTTCAATGGGTTTTATGTCCGGAGACAGATGGCCATTGCAAAATGTAGATTTTATGAACAATTAACAATTTCTTTGTGGATTTTAATGTGTGCTTGGGGTTATTGTCTTGCTAGAAGATCCATTTGTGGCCAAGTTTCAGCCTCCTGGCAGAGGCAACCAGGTTTTTGGCAAAAATGTTCTGGTACTGGGTAAAGTTCATGATACCGTTGACCTTAACAAGAGCCCCAGGACCAGTGGAAGCAAAATAGCCCCATAACATCAAAGATCCACAACTATATGGGGTTATTGTCTATATGCATCTTTCTTTTGATGCAAAACACACCACTGGTATGCGTGGCCAAATAGCTCTATTTTCATGTCATCTGACCATATCACCAGTTCCAATTCAAGTGAAAATGCCGTTTAGTAAACTCCAGGCATTACATTTGTTGGATGACATGAAAATAGAGCTCTTTGCTCACATGTAAGGGAAGGTTGATGGAGTACTGAAAACAGGGGTGCCAATCACTTGTTAAACTCATTTTCTCTGAGCAATTGTATTAGTATAAAATAATATCAATTTCTTCATCTCAGCAGTCATCCACTTTTACAAGGCAGGTATATGTCACAACTAATGGACATCAGGTGCTTTCTGTCTGTCCATCTGCCTGCCCGATCTGTGTCACAGTGGCGTTACAGTAGACACAAAACCCATTTCTCATCTCTTCACACAAAGATAAATAAAAATATACAAAAAAATATACTTCAACTCCCCATTGCTGATAAATCAGCAGTAGTTATGCTGCATCTCCATGGTGTGTCTTTCGTTGTGGAAGCAATGGGTGGGGGCAGGCGGTTCAAAGTGGGACATGAACAGTGCAATTACAACTCATCTTCAGTTACAAATCTTCCGTTGTTTCCGTTTGCTATAATATCTTAGGAAAAAAAACTCAATACTGATGATTGGCATCCTTCTCGCTCACAGGGGGAGCACTTTTTGACTCCTCTGTTATTACAGAACTGGTTGAAACCACTGTCACAGAGGAAATGACATGTCACATTTGCGTCCAGGAGAGGTTTTGGACAAACCAAAGAAACAGGGGGGCGAGGACCACAAACATTCTTCCTCAATTTCTTCGTCATCACACTCTTTCTTCCTCATCCCTCTCTCCTCAGCTTAACCTGTCCTGGATGTTCACGAGGCTGGTGTTGGACTTGGCTCGTTTGGCTGGAGAGGAAGCAGGAACAGTGTTACTGTTAGCTACCACCCATCACCTCTAAACAACATTTAACACAGGAACATTTCATCTAAGATTGCTGCTTCACCATAATGGCATGTGTCAAAGAAAAAACGTAAGGTATTACTCTCTGACTCTCCGGCTTAGAACATTAGTAGGCCCAAAACCCACTATTAACAAGGAAACCCCTAAACCTCTCCCCTCCACCACTCCCAACCCTTGAACTACCTTCACAAGTCCACATTATTTGGGGCACTCATTGAGGAACTCCCTTCTGCCTGAAATAAAATCGCTATAAACCAGGAGCATGCATGCAGGAGACACCCCGGCTTCCATACATACTTCACTTTAAAAACCTGTGACACCCCAGTCAACCCGTCAAATCTCTCTGTGCAACAATGGATGTTTTAAGCTGGTTACTCACGGTGTATGAGCTTGCGTTTCTTTTGTTCCGAGTGAAGGAAACTGCTCAAGTAGAAGATGATGGGCAGAAAGAGCATGAAGCTGGACACGGTGATGACAGGAACATTCTCCGCCCGGGGGAAGGAACAATTGAAATTCTTGCTCCACAGTCTGCGGGTGATATTCATCTGAAACAAGGCAAGGCAAAATCCCCCCCCACCACCATCAACACAGGAGCTTAAAGAACCACAAAGGGGATAAAGTATATCTCTCTCGCCCACTTCTCTATTCTTAAGTCCCTCACTCTTTTTTTGTCCATCTGACTCCCTTGCTCTATTTCTGGCTTTGGCCTTCTTCCCAAGTGCCCCTTTGTAGTTACTAGTCTCTACGTCACCTCCTCCTTTGAAACTCACTGGCACCACCAGAACTGGGGTGCGTCCCAATAATCTCTCCTTGTCCTGAAGTGTGCACCCGTTCACATGGGCTAGAGGGATTTTCCATACCAGTCATTTCCTTTCAAATCCATGAAGGGAATTGAACAAGTGCACACTTCGACAGAAAGGTGTGATAATTGGGCCGCAACCCTGGTGACATCTCGCTGTTCCTTTCTCAATGGCTATGTTTAGACAGGCAGCTGAATTCTGATCTTTTGCCCGATTATTGGCAAAAGATCTGATCTAATTAATCAAACAACAAATTAGAGGCAAAAAAAATCTGAATTTGTCTGATTGTCTAAACGCAGCCTAAGAGCCCCCAAGGGGGTGCTGTTTTACATCTTCCACATATCTATTAGTGGGGAAGCTTGCTAAACGTTACATTCTCCAAATGTATTCTGCAGTCTTCTTGGCATTAGCGCACAAACAGAGCTCTACTATATATAGCACAAAAAAACTTTGTGACAGTCTTGAGAGTACATTCCATATCTATTGTGTACATTATACATGAATGTAGTCTCATATGGCCATCCTTCCAAATCTCGTCTCGTTGACTTGACTATTGCAAGTCTGTAGTACTTCAGTATTAGATTTTGCATTTGAATGGGAGCACTAGCATTCAACGCTTGCATTTGATTGGTGCCGAGGTAGAAATTACATTTCCCCTCAGGAGAGGCATTTCCTTGTTTTTCTTTGGCTGTGGCTGTGAAATACATACTGAGTCCTCGATGTCGATGCAGAGTGTGCGATTCTTCTCCATGCGGCTGTACAGCTCATTCAGTCCTCTGTATGTGGCCTTGCACTCCTTACATAGCGCTGAGTGGTTCCCCTGCTAAATCACACAAACAGGTGGAAACCATTTTGGTTATTTATAAACTTCATATCTAATAAAAACTTAACTCTATACTCCCCTCTCCCTCCCTAGTGGTTTTAGATGGGTTTTGGTACACACTAGCTAAACAATCTCTCTCTCTTTGACCTACAACTGGGACCCACCTGTTGGAACTTCTCAAAGCAGCTGAGGGACTGGTTGAGAGTGGCCATGAAGTAAAGGGTGTCATTGGTCAGGCTGTGGAGTCCCGGGCTTACACAACCTTAGAAACAGGAAGTCAGATATCATTCAGAAATGATGTACCATGGCAGGGTTAAAGATCAAATTGTATACTCTGCCTCCTGGCACACACATATCAATTCTATTCAGAGCATCGATCACAAAGGAAAGGAGGCAAGGAGAGGAAGAAAGGGACTTATTGAGACATAGAAAAGGTAATAATATACACTGAGTATACATAACATTAAGAACACCTGCTCTTTCCATGACAGACTGACCAGGTGAAAGTTATGATTCCTTATTAATGTCACTTATTGAATCCACTTCAATCAGTGTAGATGAAGTGGAGGAGACAGGTTAAAGAAGGATTTTAAGCCTCAAGACAATCGAGACATGGATTGTGTATGTGTGCCATTCAGACGGTGAATGGGCAAGAAGAAAAAAAATATTTAAGTGTGTTTGAACAGGGTATGGTAGTAGGTGCCGGTTTGTCAAGAACTGCAACGCTGCTGGGGTTTTTTTCCACACTCAACCGTTTCCCATGTGTATCAAGAATGGTCCACCACCCAAAGTCCATCCAGCCAAGTTGACAACTGTGGGAAAGCATTGGAGTCAACATAGGCCAGCATCCCTGTGAAATGCTTTTGACACCTTGTAGAGTCCATGCCCCAATGAATTGACACTGTTCTGAGGGCAATGGGGGTGGGGGAGATGCAACTCAATATTAGGAATGTGTTCCTAATGTTTGGTATACTAAGTGTATACAGGAGTACATATCAGAAATAAATAAATAGCTGAATGTGTTTATAATAGAAGGCAGTCCACCTACTGTTACATTCTGAACTAGTCCAGATGTCCTCCAGGTTGTTGTAGAGCAGGAACACCAACATCAGCCTATCAGAACGCAGGAGGCTGTCTCTGCAGCTCACATTCCCTGGGCCCATCTGGAAACAGACACACAAGCAGTCTCACTGAGGGTGTTTACCATCCCTATTGTTTAGGCTTACTGGTTAGAATATATCTTATATTGAGGATTCAGTGGATACAGCTTACAGTACTGAGAAATTGAAGTAAGTGGCAAAACATTGCCATTAGGCTATAGGATACCTATTTAACCCCCATTATGGCAACAGTCGGGCATAGCTGTTGTTCTCCTAGTCACTAGGCATGTGACTAGGATAGTTAGTCTTGTGATCTCCTATTTCCCCTACTACACAGTACACACCCCACCACTATACATGTTGTGCTGCAGCCAGAGGCGCACTAGCAGCGCCTAGACAATTGCGCACGTATTAACCCATAGATAGTATATGAATTAACCCGCAGCACAGGGCAAAAACATGGAGACGCATAATATAAAAATATATATATATATATATATGATAAACTCAAAGTCCACTGAGAAAACACAAATGCTACTTAGCCTACCTGGTCTGATGATATGTTTGTGTAGATTTCCATAAGGTTGCCGTAGGTGCCATAACAATTTTGGCACACTTTGACAGGACGCGCGGCGGACACCAAACAATTCACATACGTTGAATATCGCTGCCCAAAGATAGTCAGCAGCTCGACGCAGTAATCGCTGACCTCCAGATCTTCTGGAAACGCCGACAACAGATTGAGAGAAAAGTAGGAACCGCGGCTGGGGTGAAACACGGGCGACTGGGGCGCCACTGCCGCAGCGAGTTGCTTCAAGCCGTCTGCGCTCAGCTCTGAACCCAGGATGGTGGTGTTCACAGAGACAGTAGACGTTTGAGCATTGCCATAATATAGCAACGCTATCAATAACGCAGCCACCTGCAAGTCAGACATGTTTGTGAAATAGGGAAGTTTGAAGAAGCACCTTCCAAACGCTCACACTACATAACAGTCCATCACTTCCTGTTCCTGGCGCGTACAGTATGTGACGTAGAACCTGATTGGTTGAGCCTTCTTGAGTGCGTGACGTCACTCTAGAGCCCTTACCAAAACACAAAACATGGCAGACAATTTCTCTCGGAAAAAAAATGCCTCGTCTGAAGAGTAGTCTAAGGAGTGAGGAGGAACGATGGCGGAAGCGGACGAAGTGGAATCAGATTCTAATGGTGGTAGAATCAAGGAGAATTGGATTATAGTTCAAAAGAAGGGAAAACAGAACAAAGTAGGATGCAGTGATGAGAATGTCCTTTCATATCTTGTAGGAGTACGGTTTGTTAATGAGGAGCAGCTGATCGAAGTACCAATCTTGAGGAATCCATTTGAGATATCAAAACTGGTGGAGAGAGTGCTGGGTAGAGTGAAGGCTGAGGATCAAGAGAGACGGGCTTGTTTTGATTTTTTGTGCTTCTGCTGATCAGAAGGATCGTGTGTTGCTAGTTTGCACTGTTGTGTGTCTCTTCGGAACAGGGCACACCTCTAGGGGGTTATATATGGCGTCTTGTGGGAAGTCGATGTTGAAGAGATGAAAAGTGATGAATGCACGTCGGATGAATCGTGTGTTGAATGAAGAAAAAGTGAAGAGTCTATCTGTTCTTTTGTTTTTTGATATGGAGTCTCTCCCTACTCAATTGCAGTTAGGGTATATCAACTATAGAGTCTGAGCATTTATCCCAAGACCAATGCAGTGTGATCATTGTAAATATTTTGGTCACGTTTCAAGTGTTTGCAGAAGGGAGAAGCCGAGTTGTCCAAGTTGTGGAAAAGATAATGTCATGTGTTATAAGAGTGATGAAAATGTGTCATGTTGCAATTGTGGTGGGAACCATGAAGCCACGTCTTTTGAATGCCCCATGAGGGAGAAAGAGAATGAGGTGGCCAAAGTAAGGGCTGTCCAGAGCATTTCATATGCAGCAGCCGTTAAAAGGGTTGAGGGTTTCAGTGGTGCACCTGAAGAGTCCATGGTGGTGGATAGGCCTTCACTGTAGGCTGCAGGGGTTGCCTTTCACCAAGAGGATCCTGATATTTTAAAGGTTAAAAAGGTTGACTTTGTTGCCTTTATTGCAATGGTGATAAATGGCACTGCCAAGGTGGAAAAAAGATCTAGGAAGATAGAAATCATTGTGGTTGCAGCGGTGTGGTTCCTAGGGCTGAAAGATTTCTCGGCGACAGAGTTACATAGAATATTGTCAAAAGCCGTACCACCAACTCAGGCCCTAGTGCCTGAGAAGGGAGATATGGAGATTTAAAAGCAGGAAGTAGTGGGAGTTTTGTTTTGTTTTTGTCAATGTACAATTTTATTTTGGTGGATTAAGTTAGTTTCCCGTGTTTTGGTTTCAACCCATCCAGTTGGTGGCAGCAATACACCTTTTTGGGTTGTAGTCCGACATAAAACCCACAGAAAAAGAAGAACAAGAACAATTTCTCTTGCCTCGGATCTGAAACCAGTACAGTAGCTAAGCATAGCATATTTGCCAGCTTTAGGTAGCTAGCTAGTATCTAGACTTGAGAGTTCATGGGCACACAGGCTACATTAGCCAACTGGTTAGACATGATTTCACCACGGCAACAATAACTGGCGACTAGTTCGTTTTCAGACAAATATTTTCAAGATTTTAACTTAGTTAATCCACTGACCACTGCATTTAGGAGGATAGCTAATTACTGAAATGTAGCAAGCTAGATCACTGGCCAGGCACTAGCCACTGACTAATTGTGGACGCATGTCATATTCTTTGATACATTTGGGTTAACTTACTCATATCAAGAAACATACCAGACCGTTTATGGAAAGGTAAAAATAACAATTAGTGGGCTCGTTTTTTGAAGAATCGGACAATGAAACTAAAATAGATTGGTAGCTAGTGAGGCTTTAATTTATTTCCCAATTAATTTGTGATCAAGCTGAAGCTGCGTTTCCCAAGTCGTTCGGTGGGTGCTAACTGCTCATGCAGGCGTCACGAGTTAGCTAAACATTAGTGGTGTGAATGTCAGCTGTTTGTTCACCCACACCCGCCCACAATTGCTAATAACCCATACACAACCGCCTTAGTATATGTGCAAATCTGAGGCCCGCACCCGACCCTTACCTGCTAGAAAATGGGCTGTAGGCTACAGTCAGAGACAGCGGAACGATTTTATGACAGGGTGCAGATTTTTTTTTGCCTGATTTAGATAGCCTATGTTTCTGCTTTTTGTTAGTCAACTTGTCAATAGTTAGATATGCAGCTTCTCTTCTGTCATTATATGTTGCCCTAGAAAACTAAATAAACTAATTCTCACCAGAATGTCATAAATGGATAGAATGAATGCTTCAGTTTAGTTGACATCAGTGGCGATTTTAGCATGTAAATCTTGGTGGGGCAAAACATTTAATAATGTGGGATGCATGCCAGCAAAGCCACTACACAAACACAACACTAAACAATACATTAATTGCACTATAACGGTGACAAACTGTGCCAACAAACTGTTAGGGCCTACAGCAGAGTCCCAACAGCAGTCCGAGCACCTTACCACTGCTACACCTGGCTATCAGCGGAGCCTTGTCTGGCAGCGAAACAGTTCATTCAGCCTCATTTACTGCCTTTAAAAAAAAACATAGCTGATATTTTTTATTTATTTTTATTTAACCAGGTAAGCCAGTTGAGAAAAAGTTCTCATTTACAACTGCAACCTGGCCAAGATAAAGCAAAGCAGTGCAATAAAAACAACAACACAGAGTTACATATGGGGTAAACAAAACATAAAGTCAAAAATACAACAGAAAATATATATACAGTGTGTGCAAATGTAGCAAGTTATGGAGGTAAGGCAATTAATAGGCCATAGTGCAAAATAATTGCAATTTAGTATTAACACTGGAATGATAGATGTGCAAGAGATGATGTGCAAATAGAGATACTGGGGTGCAAATGAGCAAAATAAATAACAATATGGGGATGAGGTAGTTGGGTGGGCTAATTTCAGATGGGCTGTGTACAGGTGCAGTGATCGGTAAGGTGCTCTGACAACTGATGCTTAAAGTTAGTGAGGGAGATAAGTCTCCAGCTTCAGAGATTTTTGCAGTTCGTTCCAGTCATTGGCAGCAGAGAACTGGAAGGAATGGCGGCCAAAGGAGGTGTTGGCTTTGGGGATGACCAGTGAGATACCTGCTGGAGCGCATACTACGGGTGGGTGTTGCTATGGTGACCAATGAGCTAAGATAAGCCGCGGATTTGCCTAGCAGTGATTTATAGATGACCTGGAGCCAGTGGGTTTGGCGACGAATATGTAGTGAGGACCAGCCAACAAGAGCGTACAGGTCACAGTGGTGGGTAGTATATGGGGCTTTGGTGACAAAGCGGATGGCACTGTGATAGACTACATCCAATTAGCTGAGTAGAGTGTTGGAGGCTATTTTGTAAATGATCGAAGTCAAGGATAGGTAGAATAATCAGCTTTATGAGGGCATGTTTGGCAGCATGAGTGAAGGAGGCTTTGTTGCGAAATAGGAAGCCGATTCTAGATTTAATTTTGGCTGACTTGCTTAAACAAATGTGATTTCTACTGACAATTGAGATGTACAAACTATGGCATAAGGGGACAACAAGCGGATAAGAGGCAATCCGTAATTTCGATGAGGACATTAATGAGCGAGCTAGGATGGACGTACTCAATATATTTGTTCAGCACTTTTGAAATGTACAGCGACAGAAATCAGAACATGCGCCGTTCTTACAGTGTTCTCCCTGTACACCAAGTCAGAACCGTAGGATAAATAAAGGGGGCCATATAAGTAGACAATGAAAGCTCTTACTATATTCAACGATTACATTTCTCTAAAACAGGTTATAGGCTACATGTGCACCACCAGTAGTCAGAACAGTAGGCAAAAATATACCAAAATTATTAGGGTGAGGCACATGGGCCACTAACAGCTTACTACAAAACATACACTTTTACTTTCTTAGCTGCAGTATATGCAGTATCTCACAAAAGTGAGTATACCCCTCACATTTTTGTAAATATTTGAGTATATCTTTTCATGTGACAACACTGAAGTAATGACACTTTGCGACAATGTAAAGTAGTGAGTGTACAGCTTGTATAACAATGTAAATTTGCTGTCCCGTCAAAATAACTCAACACACAGCCATTAATGTCTAAACTGCTGGCAACAGAAGTGAGTACACCCCTAATTGAAAATGTCCAAATTGGGCCCAATTAGCCATTTTCCCTCCCCGGTGGCATGTGACTCGTTAGTGTTACAAGGTCTCAGGTGTGAATGGGGAGCAGGTGTGTTAAATTTGGTGTCATCGCTCTCACACTCCCTCATACTGGTCACTGGAAGTTCAACATGGCACCTCATGGCAAAGAACTCTCTGAGGATCTGAAAAAAAGAATTGTTGCTCTACATAAAGATGGCCTGGGCTATAAGAAGATTGCCAAGACCCTGAAACTGAGCTGCAGCACGGTGGCCAAGACCATACAGCGGTTTAACAGGACAGGTTCCACTCAGAACAGGCCTCGCCATGGTCGACCAAAGAAGTTGAGTGCACGTGCTCAGCGTCATATGCAGAGGTTGTCTTTGGGAAATAGACATATGAGTGCTGCCAGCATTGCTGCAGAGGTTGAAGGGGTGGGGGGGTCAGCCTGTCAGTGCTCAGACCATACGCCGCACACTGCATCAAATTGGTCTGCATGGCTGTCGTCCCAGAAGGAAGCCTCTTCTAAAGATGATGCACAAGAAAGCCCGCAAACAGTTTGCTGAAGACAAGCAGACTAAGGACATGGACTACTGGAACCATGTCCTGTGGTCTGATGAGACCAAGATAAACTTATTTGGTTCAGATGGTGTCAAGCGTGTGTGGCGGCAACCAGGTGAGGAGTACAAAGACAAGTGTGTCTTGACTACAGTCAAGCTTGGTGGTGGGAGTGTCATGGTCTGGGGCTGCATGAGTGCTGCTGGCACTGGGGAGCTACAGTTCATTGAGGGAACCATGAA